AAAAATCAGCATAATCAGGCCATTATTTTAGAAGTTATGCTGTTTTTTACATTTCCTTAGATTCAATTCTTAGGCATGTTTACAGTTTCATTATTTAATTAATAAGATATGTAAAAGTGTTTTTTTGACATTTCCTGCATCTTTACTACATTGTTAGTTGATTTTGTAAAAATGATGTTAAACTTGTTATTGTGTATTGTGTAATAAAGTTTCAAAAATGGAAATAAACTCATATCATTGCAGTTTGTCAGATTGAATCATTCACTATGTTCAGAATCTCAGAATGGAGGAAATTGGACATTTGACACTATTCTATTGATATTTTTCCCATCTCATCAATTTTCTTAGTTGATCATATAAAAATGGCAGTTAACTGTTAATTTTGTTCTATGTTAAAAATTGTTAAAAATGGAAATAAACCCATTTCAGAACTGTGCTGTCTTGTTTTACTTGCCCTTTCTCTGCCTCAACTTGCCCATTATTAACGAAAAATTTTGAACCACTGGATATGCAAATTTTTATCATTACATTTTACTGATGTATAAAAAAATCAATTGTGTTAATTTTGTCATCTTTGAGTTATTTATTTTTTTCTAAATCCATGAACAAGTGGATTGGCAATCCTGACAGTGGTACCTGACACAATGAGTCTGACAGGTTAATTTTCAAATTCGGGCCTCCTTGACCTCTGTGACGACAGGTGCAGAGCCCTGTTTGCGTTGAATTCCTCTAATGATGGCCCTTGAATAGAAACATTCTCCTGCACTAGCTTAAATTTAATTTATGTATTGACTTGCAGTGGATGCGGTGGGAACTATATAGGACAAAACGGAGACACTCTCCGACATAGAATGACTATTCACAGATTTTAGACTTCAAATAGGTTCATTATCATCATCATCATTATTATTATTATGTACAGACACAGATGTGTCTGTACATATTGCCATCACCTGCGTCTGTCGTCGCCGTCGCCGATGGCGATGCCAATGGCGATGCCGATGCCGTCGCCGGCGCCGTGCACTTTCCTTGTAAACACGATAAGTGGAGGGCAGTTTTACTTTTTGTCTTAATATTTACAGAGCTGATGAATATTCATAAAACGCAGGTCAAGTTCGAAAATCAGCATGATCGGGCCATTATTGTAGAAGTTATGCTGTTTTTTCACTTTTCAGCATATATGCAACCCTGTAAACACATTTTAAGGAAAACCATTAGACCTTTTGTCATGAAACTCACAGGAGTAATCAATCTTATTAAAACGCAGGTCAAGTTCGAAAATCGGCATGATCGGGCCACTATTTTAGTAGTTATGCTGTTTTTTTCATTTTTCAGCATATATGCAACACTGTAAACACAATATAAGAAAAACAGATAGGCCAATTGTCATTAAACTCACAGGAATGGTCAATCTTACTAAAACGCAGGCTGAGTTCGAAAATCAGCATAATCGAGGCATTATTTTAGAAGTTATGTTGTTTTTTCACATTTCCTCAGATTTAATTCTTAGGCATGTTAACAGTCTCATTATTGAACTAATAAGATACGTAAAAGTGTTTGTTTGATATTTCCTGCATCTTTACAACATTGTTAGTTGATCATGTGAAAATGATGGTAAACTTGTTATAGTGTATTATGTAATAAAGTGTCAAAAATGGAAATAAATTCATATCATTGCAGTTTGTCAGATTCAATCATCCACTATGTTCAGAATCTCAGAATGGAGGAAATTGGACATTTAACATTATTCTATTGATACTTTTCCCATCTCATCAATTTTCTTAGTTGATCATATAAAAATGGCATTAAACTGTTTATTTTGTTTTATGTTTAAAAAGTGTTAAAATTGGAAATAAACCCATGTCAGAACAGTGCTGTCTTGTTTCACATTTCCTCATATTCAATTCTTAGGCATGTTAACAGTCTCATTATTTAACTAATAAGACATGTTAAAGTGTTTGGTTGACATTTCCTGCATCTTTACAACATTATTAGTTGATTATGTAAAACTGATGGTAAACTTGTTATCGTGTATTGTGTAATAAAGATTCAAAAATGGAAAAAAACTCATATCATTGCAGTTTGTCAGATTCAATCATTCACTATGTTCAGAATCTCAGAATGGAGGAAATTGGACATTTAACACTGCTCTATTGATATTTTTCCCATCTCATCAATTTTCTTAGTTGATGATATAAAAATGGCAGTAACCTGTTAATTTTGTTTTATGTTTAAAAAAATTGTTAAAAATGGAGAAAAAAAACATTTCAGAACAGTGCTCTCTTGTTTACATTTTGGCATTTTCAAGTTGTGACTTTGAAGTTCCATGGGCCTGAAGATCTTTGCTAGTCACATTTTCTGAATATCCATGATACTAATATTTTATTATTAAAATTGATGGTCATTATGCTGTTAAACATTATGTAATATTGCATCAAAATTAAAAAAAAAAACTATTTTGGGCACTGCTCCCATGATGACAATTTAAGAAAAATAATGTCACTTACTGTTCTCAAACAGTACAGTAAATATGTACAAATGTGTCTGTACATATTGCCATCACCTGCATCTGCCGTCGTCGCCGTCACTGTCACTGATGCCGGTGACGTGCACTTTCAGTGTAAACACAATAAGTGGAAGACAGTTTTACTTTTTGGCTGTATATTTACAGAGCTGATGAATATTCATAAAACGCAGGTCAAGTTTAAAAATCAGCATGATCGAGCCATTTTTGTAGAAGTTATGCTGTTTTTTCACTTTTCAGCATATATGCAACACTGTAAACACATTTCAAGGAAAACTGAAAGGCCTGTTGTCATGAAACTCACAGGAGTAATCAATCTTATTATAACGCAGGTCAAGTTCGAAAATCGGCATGATCGGGCCACTTTTTGAGTAGTTATGCTTTTTTTTCACTTTTCAGCATATGTGCAACACTGTAAACACAATATAAGAAAAACAGATAGGCCAATTGTCATTAAACTCACAGGAGTGGTCATTCCTGCTAAGACACAGGTTGAGTTAAAAAAATCAGCATAATCGGACCATTAAAGAAATGACGTTTTTTCACATTTCCTCAGATTTAATTCTTAGGCATGTTAACAGTTTCATTATTTAATTAATAAGATACGTAAAAGTGTTTGTTTGGCATTTCCTGCATCTTTACAACATTATTAGTTGATTATGTAAAAATGATGGTAAACTTGTTATAGTGTATTGTGTAATAAACTTTCAAAAATGGAAATAAACTCCTTTCATTGCAGTTTGTCAGATTCAATCATTGAAATTTGATGTTGAATTTGCAGTTTAACATAATGTACTTTGCATCAGAATTGACAGTAGCCTATTTTGTGCATAGTTATTTCCTGTTTTTTGTCTGTACATTTGACAGCTTTGCTGCCTTGTTTCACTTTTCAGCATATATGCAACCCTGTAAACACATTTTAAGGAACACCGTTAGGCCTGTTGTCATGAAACTCACAGGAGTAATCAATCTTACTAAAACGCAGGTCAAGTTCGAAAATCGGCATGATCGGGCCATTACTTTAGAAGTTATGCTGTTTTTTCACATTTCCTCAGATTCAATTCTTAGGCATGTTAACAGTCTTATTATTTTACTAATAAGATACATAAAAGTGTTTGTTTGACATTTCCTGAATCTTTACAACATTGTTAGTTGATTATGTAAAAATGATGGTAAACTTGTTATCGTGTATTGTGTAATAAAGTGTCAAAAATGGAAATAAACTCATATCATTGCAGTTTGTCAGATGCAATCATTCACTATGTTCAGAATCTCAGGATGGAGGAAATTGGACATTTAACACTGTTGTATTGATATTTTTCCCATCTCATCAATTTTCTTAGTTGATCGTATAAAAATGGCAGTAACCTGTTAATTTTGTTTATGTTAAAAAAATTGTTAAAAATGGAAAAAAAACATTTCAGAACAGTGCTGTCTTGTTTACATTTTGGCATTTTCAAGTTGTGACTTTGAAGTTCCATGGGCCTGAAGACCTTTGCTAGTCACATTTTCTGAATATCCATGATACTAATATTTTATTATTAAAAATTGATGGTCATTAAGCTGTTTAACATTATGTAATATTGCATCAAAATTTGAAAAAAACTTATTTTGGGCACTGCTCCCATGATGACCATTTAAGAAAAACCATGTCACTTACTGTTCTCAAACAGTACAGTAAATATGTACAGATGTGTCTGTACATATTGCCATCACCTGCGTCTGTCGTGGCTGGCGTTGCCGTCACTGTCACTGTCNTTTTGGCATCTTTAAGGCGTGACTTTGAAGTTCCATCGGCCGGAAAACCTTTGTTAGTCCCGTTTACTATTTGTCCATGATACTAATATTTTATTATTAAAAATTGATGATCATTATGCTGTTAAACATTATGTAATATTGCATCAAAATTTGAAAAAAACCTATTTTGGGCACTGCTCCCATGTATTTTTGCATCAGAATTGACAGTAGCCTATTTTGTGCATAGTTATTTCCTGTTTTTTGTCTGTACATTTGACAGCTTTGCTGCCTTGTTTATCTAGAGATGTCTGAGACATATGGAAAGGAAAAAGATTTCAAATGTATTTGTAAAACTGTATTTTTTCTTATTACCAGTCATAGCCAACAAAGTAGAAGAATGGAAAAAGAAGAAAGAGGCCATCTTGAGAGGCGAGGTACCCCCAGATGAAGATGTTGTAACCAAGGAAGAGGACATCTATGCTGTCAATGAACATGAGGTGAACCTTGAATTTGTCTCACTTGATTTGTGATATTGATACATTTAATTAAAGTAAGATATCATTTATTGAACAAATTAGTTGATCAAATTGAATTGTTAAACATAGCAAAGGCCCCACCAATTATTAAAACTAGGGCATCATGACATATTCATTTGGCTGGGATGAATTGAAAAGCAAAGTGCATTTTTAACCCTGTGCTTATTATAATTGCTTCATTAATTGGGGTTTTTCTTCTTTTTTATAAAAATCAGTTTCTTGAATTTTTGGAAATTTTGTCATGAATTTGTGTACTGCAGGTTATATTCCATGTGTTTATTTAATTTATTATAAAGTCCGATGAAGAGGATGAGGTCAGTGCCATGGACACAGGGGAAGGTAGTGGACAAAGCTTCATAGCTCATGTACCTGTTCCATCTCAGAAAGAGGTGAGTCCCCC